TGTACATTACCCCAAAATATGGTTGTTGTTTTTTATTTATTGTGACTGAATAATTGTAAACAGTATGATGTTGATTTTAATATAACTTAAGCGGGATCATCAGTTTTTGTTTGCACTACTTGTCCGTATCAATTTTATTACCATTAGTATTTAAGTGCTCTTTAGGCTGATTAGAAAAAGACATTTATGGCCTGTCACTAAAAGAAAGCCAGTTATTTCTTTCATGTTTAACAGTCATTAGGGGCATTGTTGGCCCAGTTGTCTAAGGCGCCGCATTTCTGTGTGCACAGGTGCGTCCTGGATCCTGAAATCCCGGATGTTTCTAGGCTTGTCAGAACCGTTCCCGTTCCCTCCATCAATTCAGGCTTTACCCCCTCACTCCCTTTAAAGATATTTCCCCACATCAAATGGGTAGATAATTGATTTGGTCCCATTATTTCTTTGACCAGTCATCTCCTTAGTATATGACATGTTCCATGCTATCATCAGTGCTATTATCAAAATGTTTTTCCAATCATTTGGTGTTCAATCATAAACATGCCCTTTTAATCAAAAAGGACAAACTGAGAAAGTACTGATATGCACTAGGGCTGGGACAAGTCCAAATTTACTACCCGGGTACCCACCCCCCTATTACCCAACCCTACCCGGGTACCCGCTGTAGGTCTCAAGAGATAGGTCCAAATGTCTGACTGGGAATAGTTTGACCGTAGCCCTGGCAAAATGTATTTAGATACACGTCATGCATAAACTGAAGTTGACTGAAGTTTTATCTTTATTCATACATATAAAGTCAGAAGGAATGTGTGCATAGTCAAAAAGAAATGCAAACATTAGTCACTTATTGTGTAACTGTAGTGTTCTAGATAATTTTTTGTCATTAAACAATATATCACGTGACTAACCACGGGTCCGGGGAGTCCTGTGGGTACCCGGGTCCTCCTCAGTACCCTATCCGAGTATCCGAGGTACCTGTCCCAGCCCTAATATGCATGTATATGGACCTACCTACTGGAAGCTACCTGATATGATTGTTCTTGCATTTAGGATAGGCTGAGAGAAAGCATCAAACAGAGGCATTAGGTCAAGGATATTTTCATATTTCGAGACACATATTCTGAATATATTTCTATATGCATGTTTTTGTTGCTTAAATCATGTCAGGATTATCAGTTAGACTTGTGTTTGATCATGTTAATGGTAAAATTGTGCGGATGTCTTTGTGTTGTGTGTATATAATTATAAATAGATGTTCTAGAGTTTTATTATGACTGTGATTTATTTGATTATGGATGAACAAATGATTGTACATGTATATAACGTAAGAAGATGATCGATGTTTGTACATAACTGGAGTCTTGTAACCAAGCTTAGTGTTTACAAGGAGTCAGTGTTACCAGCTGGTTGGAAATGAACAATTGTGATTGACATTGGTTATCCAACAGCTGTGCTGTCGGTTGGAATATTGAAAATAAGTTAGAGTTATGTTCTGTTTGTAGATGTCGTGAGGGTTTATGTCTACAAAAAACTAGGAATGCTGTTTATGTATTGAAATGAATTTTATATAATTTAAACCTCAGTATGTTCAACTGTAGATACATCAAAGAAAAGTTTTTTTTGTAATTACATCAGCCGCAATCAGAGCTATTATTGACTATGAATAAGGATACCTTGGACCTCGTTATATGTGAAGTTGGACAAATGTTAAAAATTCTCGAGGTGACAATTTTGTGAAATTTCTGCAAAAATATTTGTACTTTGTTACTGCCATTTCTTAGCCTGTAATATTCCTCCATTCCCCCTAAGTTGAAAATAATAAAAAAAACAACTCCTTATCTTATCCATCTGTTTGAGTGTTTCTTGTTACCGAGTTGGGCGTTGTATTACCCACTGGGACACAGAGAAATTATTTCTGGGAAATCACATGGATTGACCAATTCAAATAAGATGCAGTTCAAACTTTGGCAACACAATGCCATATCCTGCTTTGATGCAAATAATTGATGGTGATCTCCTGGCTGACATAAAGTAGCTGAAATATTGCTGACTGTGGAGTTCCACAACATTCCTCCACCAACCTTACCTGCCCTTGACATGGCTGGTCTAGACTTGATATTCCCCCGGCCGCCACGATGTTGCTGAAATATTGCTGACTGTGGAGTTCCACAACATTCCTCCACCAACCTTTTCTGCCCTTGACATGGCTGGTCTAGACTTGATATTCCCCTGGCCGCCATGATGTTGCTGAAATATTGCTGACTGTGGTGTTCCACAACATTCCTCCACCAACCTTACCTGCCCTTGACATGGCTGGTGTAGACTTGATTATCTCCCGGCCGCCATGATGTTGCTGAAATATTGCCGACTGGGGCGTTCCACATTTTCTGCTCTGAATTGTCACTCTTCAGGAAACACAGACATACCACTGTCTTGTGCTGGAGGGGACGGTGGCCCAGTGTATGAGTCATCCAATATGCCACAACTTGCTGCTGCATGCCAGAATCCTATGGACATTGGTCTGAATCCATGATTGTGAGACTGCCTCCATGGTCTCGTAGAGCGGAAGGTCCGGGGTTCGATCCCCGACCGCGTCCTACCAAAAGACGTTAAAAGATGGTACTTGTTGTTACCCTGCCTGGCGCTCGGCATTAAGGGACTAAAACTAGGACTTGTAGGCTCGGAGTCAGTATACTGTGTCTAAATGGGGTATTCATGAGTAACTGCGGCATGGTATCTCAGTGAGCTAGCACTATAAATCGGCATCAGTCCGGACTACTACAAGCAGCCACACACACACACACACACACACACACACGTGCATGCATGTCGCTATATAAGTGCAATAATCTTGGACGCGACATTAAACTCCATTTCACCTCACCTCACCATGATTGTGATGCTTGGTTTATCAGCACCACACTTTGCTCATGGGCTTCCCCAAACCTGTATCACTCTGGCCTTTCCTCACACATTAAGCTGACATGCCATGGTAAAACAGAAATAGTGTTCTAGGTGGCATTAACCCAGAAAGCCATCAGTGATTCCTCAGTACTTTCATCACCATGGTAATAGAAGACACAATGCATAACATGAGTTGTGAGGAAAATAGCATCATGAGAGAAAACAGTACAGAGATAGTCATGTGTATAAACTTTCTTTATTAAAATGATATAAAAATACTTTAGATATATATGTTTATTAATGTCAATTTGAACACACAGGAATGAAACATGTAAATCTCTCACACTGGATGTGGATTTACCCTGGGACTCGAAGCACTGTTTTGTAATTTGATAAAACATACGGCTAGACCAATTCAATTCCTTGTTTTCTTGAAATTCCTGGTCAAATACCAAGAAACAGGAGGATCCTCATATCTTTAACAAATCGTCGGGTTTGACTTAAAGTATGATTTGTATTTCCAATCGATTACAGCCAACTTTAGGAAAGGCTAATCTGGAAAACATGAAAATAACTTGGTCTGGCCTAAAATAATTTTTCTACAACATTATTTCAACGTCTGTGACACTGCTACTGGCCAAGTGTTGTAAACCTCTTCAGTCAATTTTTTAATATGAACACACTTTCTGACAACCAAAAAAATAAAAGAACACCAGCATGAGGATATATACGGGTAACACCATGCCCAATACATTCCCTACACAAACAGGATGATATAAAAAACTCTACTCTACAACCAACAAATAATGATTTTGATCATATTCTCATATATCTAGAAGTATTTTCACTCGGAAAATTCATTTGGAACTGACATTTACTGTGCATCAAATATTCAACAGCACCCACAAATATGAAAATGCATATGTCTAATGACGTTGCATAATACAAGATTTATCAGTTATTTTTCCACAGCACTCTGTTTCCATGTAAGATCTCCGTTGTGAGACAGACATGACGACACACTGGAATGCTGACATCCTGATACTATGGATGAAGTCCTAAGCTTCCATGACATGTGATCCTGCTGTCTTAGCAAAATGTGAAAAGTTTGAGTTGTTCTCATAAATACTATGTTTTCTTGAGTATAGTGTGCACTTTTTCTCTCCAAAAAACACGGCTGTGAAGAGGGTTATATTATACACGCAATGTACCAAGTATGTACCAAGTTCATCATATGATGATTGCTGCATCCATTTGACAAATGAATATATGTTTGTCAAAATTGGGATCAATAAAATAAATATACTTATCAAGAAAAGTGTTCACACACACACTGTGGCATGGTAGTATTCCACTCCAACATTGTTTTTCAACAAAACAGATTGCAACATATACTCCCATTCATTTTACATTTAAATCATCTTCACAAATGAAAGAGACACGGTCTTAGGTCACATGTGTAACATTCTGTAAGACCAAAAAAACAGAAATATCACATTTCTTGTCACCGTCTGTGTCATTTTCAACCCTCTGTGTTTTTTGCTGTGTCCTTTTCATTTTCAGGATGTTAAAACAAGGGCAGACAACTCTAACCTGCTTTCCCCGAAGACAAACCTACACGCTGCACTACACACAATGCCTCTCATGCTGCAGGTTTGGTGAGTGGAAGATGATAAGGCCTACACTTACAGAAAACAACACTTGCATTTCATTTGCATATGGTAGTCTATTAGAACATTGTAAACATTAAACATTTAGTCAGATTATTCTATGATTGCTTGTTCTTTGGAGGAGAGAGGAAAGGCATGATGACCAACAGTGTAAATGTAGATGTGTAAATATTGCTGTACCATGGAATTGATATGTTGTAGACATAAATCCCAATAAGATATAGAGAATCTCACCCGAGTGTCTTTTGATATGAAATCTATCCACACGAGTTGATAAAAGTGGAAAAACTCCAAGGCTTGCCAAGATTTTCCCCACTTTTATCAACGAGTGTTGAGGGTGAGATTTTATTTATTATCCAACTCATTCTTCCAACTTTTTCAGTTTGTAGACAGTAATAAGCAGTGTCTTAAGTGTAAAAAGTACTGCTAACAGCTTCAGTAGCAGAGCCAATTTTGATGTCATTTGATTCTGACGGCATGGTAACCAGTGATGTCACAATGGTCTGCAAAGCATTGTGATATCTCCTGTGGGAGCCAGTTTGGGATGATAAACAACAATGTGTTACACCAGAGTGTTAGTATATCCAGTTATTCAACTAAAGGAGAATGAAACTGCTTTCATGCATGTGTTTTTGCAGTTACACCAAGGATAAACATATGATAATATTTACTGGGGACTAAATGATAAATTGAGCCACTCATCAAAACACTAAATCACCTCAGACCATTCTGAGAAAGTGTTGAATAATGGAATATATATTAAGTTAACCTGATTTCATTTGATTAAAGCATGTCCAATAATAGACATTCATTTAATGGGTTATAAAGCTGTCTTTTCACAATACTCACACATCAAGTTATTCAAATAGATTTGACTTTACACCTTTAGCCACCTCTATTGTAATGTTTATAAGTGTTATAAGATAATTTTAGGTATATAACACATGCATCTAAACAATATCCAGGGATAAGAAAAAACAACTTTGACAGTTTGTCTGGGGTCTGGGGTACGATATGATTTATGCATATTGTAATGCCATGTTTGGCAAAAATGATCCATGACGTAACAAAATCTGTGCAAATCGGTGAAAAATTCTCATCCCTGAACATGGTCATAACATATTTTGTTTCCTGCTTAGTAGGCAGGATTGTGTAAAACACACATTTACATAGGACTAGCCTAAGTAAAACAAAAAGGTTAAATTGATACTTGCTGCTTGGAGCTGACTTGAAGAAATAATACATTTCAACCTACAAATGCAGGGTCCCATTTAAATAAACTTCAAAACAGACAAAAACGTGGGTCTCGTGTACATTACACAAAGAGACACAAACAAAACATCAACTAGATTCTGGAAAATTAAGATGTTTTTGGTGCCTTAATAATTTACCGTATATCGCTGTGTATAAAGCAAGTTTTTCGTACATCAAACTAGGGGGCTTTCAAGGGGGTTGTCTTATACACAGGGTTGAAGAGTTTTGATGTTTTTCCCCCCAACACAGACATGACTGTGAGCAAGTAACACCAGAAATACCATGTCAACGAATCCATATTTAAGCACGCAAACTAATCATGTAATTACACTGTCTGGTTATAAAAACAGTTCATTATATATCTGGACTTACCTTTGTAATCTATTTTATTAATTTTATTCAAAATTTCATTCAATATTGTTTATTTTCATTTCAGCAAAATCGTATGTGAAGTGATTGGAAGATCACACAACTCACTGTTATTAACAGCAACCACAGTCATATTACCACTATTGACACCTTGAACGAACTATAGTGGATAGAGAATGGATATATATATCATAAATGCCATACTTTGACTCGCTGAAAGTCCTTTTGTTGTAGTTTGACTATTATTTGTCAGCATAAAATTTTCACTATCGTGAGTGCGGAAGCATCTGCACACGGTAATCATAATCTCTGCATATAAAACAATGCCTATCAGAACAGGAAATACAATTTAATTGGTAAATGATCATGTCTAGTGTTTGTTTATCTTAACTTTTAACTTTACATTGACCAAGTTTAATTGTTATGATCTGTTCGTTTCCCTGAATTCACTTAAGGGAAACGATGCAATTTCTTTCTGTGGAAGACAAACATGTTTTTATTGCAAATGTAGGGATTGTGTATACGCTGGTGACGTGTTCCATTCCGATTCGCTTATACGAGGTATATAAATAAGCATCGATTTTAAAGGCTTGTACAGGGCCCTGAGGGGGGTCGTCTTATACGTTGGGTCGCTTTATAGACGGCGATATACGGTACATGAAAGAAATAAGAAACTATATACATGCATGAGCATGGAAAATAAAACACTTGATTATTCTCTCTAAAATATTTGATGCCAATAAATCTGAAGATCACAAGTTCACAACCAACAAGTTCATATCACAGATTTGCCGAGTAACAAGTTTACAGTCTTGATTGTATTCAGTGCATATGAAAACATGAGGGTGCTGTTGTTTTCTTATTAAATACTGTGTATTGAATTACAAGTGGTATGCCTTGAACAGTACATCTATATATCCTCCCAAAGCTGCCTAGAAACCTACTGATAATACTTACAAACACACACATTAATGGGAGTATCCTAGTCTATGCCAATAAGTTTTTATCTTTTTATACAATACTTAAAATACTTTTGTCAAATATTGACAAATGAACCACCAACGCCATTAATACCTGATTTATCATACATATTTGCAAACATTATTGTATATCTCACAAACTATTTATGCACTACACAACCATTTTGCGTTAAAGAAGACCGTGTAAGCACTACTACCCTTCCATGGACCAGGGATGACACATGTAAACAGCCTGCACACCATTCAACTAGCGATGCATCAAAGTTGTCCCGATGGTAAATACATCCCCAATAAGTCAAACTTGCAATAGTTAATGGACACTATCATCATTGTGATGCACAACACAAAATTTTTAGTACAGACATGAGGAAATAGACGAGTACTGATAACCATTAATCTTTCCATTTGTTTTGATTCAAATATACCTTGCTTGAAGGTATCCATTCAAAATATGTTCAAAAATTAATTTTCAGACAATAATCATGGGTACAACCCTAATTGAATAGTTGTACCTACATTTGCAATAGAATTGCAATAGTTGTATCTATATTACAATAGAATTGCAATAGTTGTACCTATATTACAATAGAATTGCAATAGTTGTACCTATATTACAACTGTATTGTGAGAGTTGTATCCATTTATTACAATAGTTTTGCAATTGTTGTACCTATATTACAATAGTATTGCAATAGTTGTACCTATATTACAATAGTATTGCGATAGTTGTACCTATAGTACAATAGTTTTGCAATAGTTGTACCTATAGTACAATAGTATTGCGATAGTTGTACCTATAGTACAATAGTTTTGCAATAGTTGTTCCTATATTACAATAGTTTTGCAATAGTTGTACCTATATTACAATAGTTTTGCAATAGTTGTAGCTGTACTACAAGGTAAACATGCCCTCTATAGTTACCATACTGAACACAAACTTATACAGTGTAGCAGTACTACCGTGGAGGTGAACTGCTACTTTACTGACATCACAGAGGGACTTCTTCCTCGTGTAACTATCATATCTACACAACATGTATCCTGTTCATTTCAGATCAAAAACCGGCTAGATCTGTTTTGTTTTCCTTCCTTATGTCAAGGTCACCATTGTCAGCAGGAAGGTAGCTACCAACATCTTAACTAAAATGGCGCAAGTAGATTTGGCCAGAATTTCATTTCTTGTAACAGATATGAAACATAAATAAAATAATTTTTTAGAATGGTGTGTTTTGTATAATGTATACCAGTGCTTATTTTGATTATCTTTATGTTTGTATTTTTAACTTTTATTTCCAGGTGTGTCTTTCAGGAAATCAATGGGGAATACTGTTAAGTAAGATGACACAAGTCTGGCGTGAGCTTGTTTTGATGGTGCTCTGATGAACCCATAAACATGACAAGCAATAGAAGACAACACAGAATGTGTCGGCCATGGAGGCTCACAAACTCATGTAACAGTTTTGAGAGAGTGTCATGAAAGAAGTAGGAATAAAATAAAATATTGACAAAATGCATTCTGTGAAGAAACAAAACAATGTGCAGAAGTACTTTACAAAATAATTGTAGACTTCCTATCATAGAGGTAATTGCTTTGAGGCTCTAGCTGCTTTGAGGCTCTAGCTGCTTTGAGGCTCTAGCAAGTTTAGCACAGCTTGTCAGTCAGTCAAGCTCCAGGCCATGGAATACATTCAAAGCCACATGTGATGAAAGTATTGTACAGCCATTACCTAATATCAAGTAATTCAGATCCCATGATAACAGACAACTGAAAATACATAAAATATAATAAAGAAATGTTAAAGCCCACACCAAAAACCATAAAGCTTTGACTTCCTTCAGTTATCAAGTCTCAATCATTCAGATGCTTCCTCCGACATCCACACATCAACACAATGAACTGTAATCATGAAAATTAAACATTGCACTTTGCAATAAAAATGAAGTGTGTATAACCTATATAAAGTTGGACTAAAAGTCTTAAAATATAAAAACACACCCAAATCAAACTCCACATTTTACAAAACCTTTTGCAATTTGTTTTTAAGATCTGCTGATGTAAAAGTAATATTTTGATCAATAAAGCTTCGGGCAGCTTTAGCCACCTGACCACCATAAAACCAATCCCACTGCCACATTCTGCTTATGTCTTCATCGTGAGTCCTCTTGCCACTGTCATCAAACTTTAATGGCGCGGGGCATCCATAATGATCATTCGTCACTCTATGCTTAAATGGCGGCTGCCCTTTCTGCTGTTGATTTAGATTTTTATGTACAGCATTGCAAATATGGCATTCAAATCCATCGATGAAATTGATGGTGGCAGGGGACCAGTGCTCTTCGCTGTCCACTCCCCATTCTCTTTTTTCCACTAATTTCTTCAGGTAAGTGTTGGTGATACCAGTTTCTTTCCATTTGAAATATTTTTCATATTCTGCATCATTTTTATTGAGGTATTTCAAGTAGTCTGCAAGCTCTTTCACACTGGAGAAATCATCAACAATAATGGCGGAATGGTTGGATGGTAGCAGTTGCTGCAAAAGAGCAAATGAGTAAGAGAGTTGGGGTTAGTTAAGCATGGAATGTTCTTTCAGTTATATTTTCTTGTTCATGTCATCCCGTCTAAAGCCCAGGACCAAAGGCTGTGTTTACTTCTTTAATGAAACCCAAAAGCATCTTAATGTGCTGACAGACCAAGGATCATTATCAGGACAAATCATGGATTAGAGCTGGCAGATCCTGGAATGGTTAAGGGAGACAACTCTTCACATGGACATGGAGATGCCAAATACCACTTAACCACCTATGGCATAAGACACCTGTCTGTCCCCCCCAAAAAGATAGCATACCTGTCTCCCTTCATTATATATATTTGCAATAAACTCGAATGCAGCTAATATCAATAAGTGTTTTCAATATTACAGAAACTAATTGATCATGTTCAATTTGAATGAAGAGTTAAAAAATATATTTACATAAAATCATGATCAAAGTATATATGTGTTGAAAGGAAATACAATAGATTTGATTAGATTTGACTTGGTACTGCCAAAACTAGCGTACCAAAAATGACAAACCATAAGACATGTTAGATTTTCAGAGTAAAAGTGTATAATCTTTTTAATAAAAATGTTGATAAAGTGTTGCGCTTATTTACCTTTATTTTCGGAGAGCCCATCACAACAGGCAATGATCCCACCATGAGGGGCCGCCATACTTTCTCAGTGATATAGTCGTCACAGATGCCGTTCTCCATTGCCAGAGAGAACTTGTATTTTGCAGCAAGTTTGTAAAAGTCTTTATGATCCATGCCTTGGATTGGGTCTTTTAGGCTGGAAAACAGACCAGATTTTAGACTCGACATGCCATTACTTGTGAAATATCATAACCTGTGTGATGCACGTTTTACATATACCCAAAGGAATCATTGGATATATTAACATTCAAAGTTGACAGCAAATTGAAAAAGATGGGCCCATGGATTATTTCCTCAAGGTTAACAAGGGAACTGATTTTCAGATAAGTCTAAAAATGATATTTGTTACAAAATATCTACCCTTTTCCATTACTCCGAGGGATGCGGATTTAGAATTGGTCCCCAGCAACGTATGCTGGTCGTAAGAGGCAACTTAATGAATCAGGTGGTTTGACTTGGTTGATTGTGTGTGATTGTATCAAACAGCATGGATTGATGCTCACAATATCGATCACTGGATTGTTATTTAGATGCCGTCATCATATAGCTGGAATATTGCCGAGTGTGTCGTTAAAAAACCCCAAACAAACCTTCACCATTTTTCCTTAGCTAAACTGAAACAGTTTCCAGTTTATTATGATGAAAAGTGATTTAATGCCTGACATTTCCCTTAACAATAAAACAAACTGCAAATTCTTTTGAAAAAAAGAATTTAAAAAAAATAATAAAAAAATTATCCAGCGGGATATGGATACAGGTGAAATCATTGTCATAATTCTCACTGAGTATGACATTTAATAGCTTCAAGCTGATTGGTTAGTTCACGCCCACTGTTTCATTGTTTTTACTTTTGCGAAGTGGTCTACAGCAATGTGACGTCATATGAATGCACTGTAGCACATTATTGACATGGTTGAAGATGAGGTCATCCATTGTTTATGATGGCCCAGACAGTTTTATGTGTCGTCATTTCAACAACAGATTAACTGAACATATGTCTCCATGTGTCATCAGAACATCCACATTTTTCCGAGAGAAGAAGACTATTATGACACTGTATATAGAGAATAACCTACTAGTAATATAAACTTGTTAAAAGATTATCTAGCCCTTGTGAAGTAAGGTCAAATGTTCCAAACTTGGGGTTAATCAAATTAGTTCATTCAGGACAGTACTTGTTGTTACCCCGTCCGGCGCTCGGCATTAAGGGGCTAAAACAAGGACTGGTCAGCTCGGAGTCAGTATACTGTGTCTGAGTGGGGTATTCATGTTAAACTGCGGCATGGTATCTCAGTGTGCTAGCACTATAAATCGACATCAGTCCGGACTAGTACAAGCACACACACACACACGTGCATGCACGTCGCTATATAAGTGCAATAATCTTGGACGCGACGTTAAACCCAGTTTCACATCACCCCATTCAGGACAGACAATCTGAATTCCTTGTAGATGATTGATTGATTGAGTTTGATTTTACGCCGCTTTTAGCAATATTCCAGCAATATCACGGCGGGGGACACCAGAAATGGGCTTCACACATTGTACCCATGTCGGGAATTGAACCCGGGTCTTCGGCGTGACGAGCGAACGCTTTAACCACTAGGCTACCAGACCGCCCCCCTTGTAGATGAGGTTCATCTTTAAATATGTATGTTTTTTAATTATTTTAATCTGACAACAAGGGCTTGCGCCAATATCATGTCTATTTATCCTCGGTGACAAATGCTACAATCACACTGCAGATCATGTAAGTGTGACCCAACGTTTTGGTCTAAGGGAGATAACTCACTGTTCTGGGAGATCCTTGTTATGAAGACAGGTGCCATATGAGTCGACCTTGATATATTTCTGCAGCATCTTCACGTAGTGGTCTCTGTCAGACGGGACGTCACAGTCGCTGTGGGCGTACATAAGTGGAGCCAATTCCTTCTGGTGCTTGTTTTTTTGTCCCGTCGAAATTAAATATTGTGTGCTTTCCAGCCAATCAGTACCAACTAAATACTGTGTAGTGATTGGATAGCTTGACTCCCTTTTAAATGTACTGGTATAGTTAAATAAAGTCATAATCTCTGGATGAGAGAAAAGATAGTTGTTTTTGGGAGATTCTTCATGAAGCAGTGCCCACTCGTGTTTGTGGCTACGAGGTAGAGGGAGGTCGGTGACCTTGAAGTCTGTTCCATAAAAAACAAACACCTGAAACATGTCGTCCATGGTTACAATGCAGAAAGATACTTCATGAAATATGTATTTAACATCTGGAAACTTCGGTAGTTTGAGGAAGATTTGGGCAAGTACAAAATGAGTAAGTGAGTGAGTTTGGTTTGATGCTGCTTTGAACCGTATTTCAGTTAAATCATGCTGTGTCAGCTAGATGTGGGAGGAAAGACGCAAGTGATGCAGTTGTAGACATCTTTGGTGAAAACCCCAAGAACAGATACGGCGCTGACAAACCTTGAAATTAATCAGGAATTAGGATTCGAACCAGAGATGATAGGTATGTGACAGAGCTCTAGACAAGATGTTGGTGATCATGAAAGATGAAAAAAAAACAGAAAACGTTTTTGGTCCAGCATGTCCACTCTTATTGTGTGGAATATTATGCATCAATGCAGGGATAAATCTAGGGTGGGGTCTTTTGATTTTAGTCCCTAAATTTGAAAAAAAGGCCCACATTTTTAAATACAATGGGGCATTTTAACATTGTGCTGTAAGGGCGTAAATTTTCACATAAAGAGCCCATGTCAGAAAATTCCTGGAGTGAACCCTGTCAAGGTATCAGTGAAATATCCCGTTGGCAAATACAGAATATCGACACTTACTGATGTCATCGGGTGGTTCCTGTACGCCCGCCGAACAGTGAAGAAACATTTCACATTCCCACATTTCTTGTAGATTCCTTTCTCCCCCGTGAATGGCGTCCACCACAAGATGATCGGTTTGTTTATGCTGGGGACAATGTTCTCTTCCTCCAGTTCCTCATCCAATGGACGACGATCTGTTAAAATAAATTGATGACATTTATGTTGTAGTCTTTCCATATCGTCCATACAACTAAAATTAATCACAATATATTCCGAATGAGTTTATTTTGGAGACCATCATTTTAGGTGGCATAGGTAAAAATGATATAAAATATGTTTCCATGGCACCAGGCCTTTGGAGTGACTAGCAGCAAATGCCTTAACCACTAGACTACCCCACTACCCTTTGTGTATTTATCCATTCCATAAACTCACTGGGGATCATGGCTGTTAGTGTTACAAGGCACTCTCGCATTACAAGCATACAATATTCAAGTCATATGATATATACTGCCTTAGAAATTTATTATATTTAAGACAAATCTAGAGAAGTACATACAAAACATATTTAGTAAACCATCAATAAAATAATGGCTTTACAACATTGAATAAGAAGACAGAATTCATTTTCATTGCATGTAATGTGTCATCCCTGTACATGATTTATGAATACGTACTGTTTTGTATTGATACACGACCTTTTGATAATTGTACCGCTGCACAAAGATTTGCGAAATCAGATATTCGGTGTTAAGTGGATTCCTACAGCCATAATCATTTATTGAATATAAATGCAGAGCTCCAGGTAACTTTTTGAGCAATTGAGTTTTTACCCGAAGGTTTCTATTTTAATTTGGTTATTACATTTTTCATCGGGTAACAAATATTTTTTCACTCATCTGTTCATCACTCTATTGGGTTTTTCCCAAAATGAGTAAACATTTTGAGTTTAAAAAAAGAAAGAAATAATTTTGTGCATGCGTTTCTGTACGCAAGGTAATTGAAAGTAATTGGGTTTTGAATAGTTTTGCTGGGTATTTTATGCAAATACGCTGCTTATCTGTAGCTCTGTAAATGCACATTTTCAGAAGCTCTCGACCAACGAGAATGGTTTTGAATAGTTTTGCGGGGTATTTTATGCAAATACGCTGCTTATCTGTAGCTCTGTAAATGCCCATTTTCAGAAGCTCTCGACCAACGAGAATTGCCTAAAGTTGTGTAACAAATTCAATTTGTAATATTAAAAGATTGTACTGTATTTTCTTGAGCATGCTGAGTATAGTGTGCACCCAAGTATAATGCGAACTCTCTTCGAGGGAATGCAGTATTAAGGAAAAAAAAGGTACTTGTACTTGTTGTTACCCTGTCTGATGCGAAGCAGTAAGGTCATAAAACAAGGACTGGTCCGAGTCAGTAAACAGTGTCGGAGTGGGATATCCATGTTAAACCATGGCATGGTATCTCTGAGGGCTAGCACTATAAGACCGTTATTAGTCTGGATGAGTACAATCAGAGTACACCCACGCCCATACATGTTCCTGTGTAAAGGCAATGATCTTGAAAACAACCCTGAACCCCATTTACCCTCACCACTCACATACCATGTCACGGTTCTTGAGCTAAGTAGCACATAGACATGAGACATGCTGGACTCTGCATTTCACATAAGCTGTATAAAGTAAAGATGCTTGCCTTCATTCACTTCCATGAGGAAGTTGTCGTAGTACACTGGGTGGTCATCACTGCTTGAAAAAATCTGAAATCAGTAGCACAGGCTGATATTTGAGTGTCATTTAACATGTTTAATGTATAATAGAAGGTTTGTTTGTTTGTTTTTTAACTCCGCACTCGGCTATATGATGGCGGTCTGTAAATAATGGAGTCGGGACCAGACAATCCAGTGATTGACATCATGAGCATTAATCCACGCAATTGGGATATGATGACATGCATCAACCAAGTCACTGAGGTTGACTACCTGATTCCATTAGTCGCCGCTTACGACAAGCATAGCCGCCTTAGAAGGTAAAAGAAATGCAATATATAAAGAAAATCACACACAAGAGTCTTTTGATATCAAATATATCAACGAAAATAAATATATAATAAAATGTTGATATATTTGACATCAAAAGACAAGATGGTTGGTTAGATTATATTTCATCCAAAATTTTCAATTAGCAATGTGTTGAGGATCAAACTCAAGTGTTGCCAGCTTGAAGCTAAGCTCGGTGAATGAGATAATCTTACTACTTTCATCAAACGGCTTGATCAGAAAGGGAATCAAAGGGCTTGAGTTGGTGTAACTTATCTGTAATCTATACAACTGATCCTAAGGAGGTGCACGATATCTGCGAAGCGAGACCTAATTACATGTAGTTCTATAAGTTGCACCAGGTAAACTGCAGTCTTTAGAATTAAAATAGACAAGGTTCTTATTGTCGAATTCTACCTGCCTAACAGAGTTTGACGGATCCTTTGACGACGAGAAACTTTTCTTACCCTAAAATGCCTTTTAATATCATCGTACATATGTATTTTGATGTTCTCTGTTATGCCTAACACATTAACTGCAATCACTGATGCATGACACGAGTCATAGCTGCATACAGTACAACGGACAAACTACATCAGTGAATCTGGAGTAAAACATACGCCACATACGGTACCTTGTATCCAAGAATTAGCATGCCCAGGAAGCCGAACAAGAACACCAGCAGAAAACATCTGAACACAAATTTTGACGACATTTTGTTTTTTTAATGATATTTTGGACGAAGACCCACTGCATTTATTGACATGCTAGTGTTTGTGCGGTTAATCAGTCGACCGTAAACCCGCGATAAAAACAGAAACCACAACACTGACAAACGGTACACCTCAACCACCGGAAGTAGGAAGTGGCTGAGCAAACTAAAAACCGAAACCGGTTTATAAGGGAACGTTGCTGGTTGGATGAAGGCGTTACACCTCAAAACCAATCAAAGTGTACAACATGTCTGTCCCAGAGTTGTTTTCGGAGTGCCTTCAAGCACAGGACAAAGTTAACTAATAAAAATAACAATAACATAAAACAAAATCGCAGACGAGAAGGTCGAGAAGGAATGCAACAGAAATTCTAAACTCGACCGCCTCGATTTGTCGTCTTTTTCATCTATCTGACCTGAACTTTTATTTACACTCAGACCGCTATCAGGGGCATCAGAGGTAAAAAATAATTTGAACAACATAACACATATACATATAAATATACAAAAACATCTTTGCCGAGCATGCATGTATGTTTATACAGATTCACTAGGGTAGCAGGGGCGATCTCGTAGCCTAGTGGTTAAGCGTTCGCTCGTCACGCCGAATAACCGTGTTCGATTCCCGACATGGGTACATCGTGTGAGGCCCATTTCATCTATCCCCTGCCCTGATATTGCTGGAATATTGCTAACAGCGGCGTAAAACCTGTCACGAGGGTAGCAATTTATGTGCAATTCAATAAAGGGGAGTGTTAATTGATAGGTTTAAACAATGACATGGTGATTTTACAGAATTTGGACAATATTTTCAATATTCCTAATCGTGAATTATTTCAAAGTAAATTCATTAATACATATTGGGTTTCATGTAGTAGAATCTGTGTAAAAATGTTTTCTTTCGTTTTCTAAAGATTGACAAATAAACAAATAATGGAATTCATCACCGATGTCAGATAGTTTACAAAGTGGACATTTCCTTTCGGTTAAAGGTATTTTTCTCCATCTCCCGGTTTCAATAGGTAGATTATGGTTACAAGTTCTAAACTAAAGTAAGTAGGATTTTTGAAACTTTGTGAAACCCAGATGTAGCTGAGTCCAAGTTCGTCAAAAGTTCGTTTGATACATGTAATATCCATTTATGTTTACATTTTCCAAATAACAACCTGTAAACAAGAAAAGATAATTTAGATGATTTCCCGGAAAGTAATTTTGCTCCAAAACTTATTATTCTCACAATAGACGAATGTGCAGAATTGTTCTGTATACACTCCCAAACGTCGATGTCGCTTCTGTTGTATGGAAGCACCCACCTGTCAATCAAAATTTAATAAAAATATAGTTTGTTTGTTATTATTATTAGTTACATGGTCCTGTGATTCAAGGAAAAAGTTTTCCGAGAGTCCACCTGCATGTTTGTATTCGCCTTTGCTAAAACCATTTTCGATAGCTTTTATACACCTACGTCAAAATAATCGTCGCGGGTTGTGTCACAGAAAAAATATTTATATGTAAACTTGTTACATTTCGTCTATATATTAGTTAATGAAGAGAGAGATAGAGTTATGGATTTCAACTTTTTCATCTTTCAACGCGACGCGTCAATACAGATGTTCAGTGTACTAATTTATCAAGAAAGTGATCAACAACAGAAAGCAGAAGATGTGGGGCTGCTGCGGACACTGTGGGCTGCCTCTGTACATCTCACGAGGAAGGTCAGCTAGGTGGCGGTGGACTGAAGGATGTCCTTTTGTAGGCTTGTCATGCTTCAAGATGTCGTGCCTACAAAATCTTTTAAATGCTGGCCGCCGACTCGGATCTGTGCAATTCTGCCATCGGGTGTTCTGTTTGTTTGATGGGTTTGATGAGTCATAACTTTGTATGAGGTCCATTGTAGGCTGTTTTAGACCATCTTTCGGGACTCAGCATTGTGGTAGGCAAATTAAATCGTATTTGGTAAGCAGATTCAACATTTAAAATAATTAATGGCGTACGTTAATATTTCCTCCATATACAGTGACGCCCAAATGAAAGTACACCAAGCTTTCGAGGGGCGATTGAAGCGGAAAGCACATTGGAAGTTAAAATAATATGTATAATTAATGAAGTGGCGTTGAAATAATAATGTTTCCGGGAATATTGAACAAATAATAAAACACAATTCACACAGCACATTGGATCTTCTAAAAAGAAAATATGGTCTGGGGTCCCCCAAACGGTTTCTTCGCTACCCCTTTCAGAGTAAAAAAAACAGTTGTATGTCTTGAGGCGTTGTCTCAACAAATATATTCTCTCTCAAACAGAAATCCCAGACTCCCCAATTTCTCGTAACTCACAGTTTATGATGTATATCAGTCCGGTAGTTAATGGTTAACTTAACAACACAGGGTCGCTGTCTCACACGTGAATCTTCACTTTCAATTTCGAAAAAAAAAATATTAAAAGAAAATAAATGCCAGATATGGAGCAAATTCGTACTGGAGCAATTTCTGTTGCATTTTGTTTGTTTACTTGTTTATGGTTATTTAAAGCATTATTTACATGTTGATTTAAGAAAATGGAGACTGCTCCAGTCTATATAATCACAAGTTACTTTCAAGTTGATGTTTACTACCCACATATATTATGTATTAAGTAAAAATTTCATGTACAACAAAAGCGAGAAAAATATTTCCATAATCATAAGAAATCTAAAAATAAGAAAAGAGTCTATCGTACGATTCCGACTATATCATAAGCATGTGTTTATGAATCACTATCAAATAGTGACGATATCAGGTGTTCGCGAAAAGGTGTCTGTCTCCACCACCTGAAAATTCAATCAAGGATGTTTACTTTGCCCTCCAACCGCAAACTGCTGCAACAATGCAGGCAAAAGCAACTGTGATTTTATAAACTTGTTGATAACTGATTGACCAATCTTATTACTGTGTAAAGAGCAAAACCACTCGCTAAGACCGACATACCTCTGTTTCAGCCATTATCAAGCTGACATACATCTGATGTGAGTGACAATAACCAAACGTGTCGCCATTGCTAGCGTACATACATACAAACACACACATGTACATGAGAACATGTTGTTGCTTTGTTTACAGTAGTTGTAGCCTTGTGGGTAAAGCTGTCGCTCGACCGACATATTCGCGCTGTATATTCCAGTCAGCCTCTATTTTCCTTAATATTTGAAGAGTGAATTCGGACATGTGCTTTGGAGATTTGTGATAAATAGTTTTCGGGATTCAGGTGTGACCAAATGAGACTTGGAGTTAAAAAATAGATGGTTATTCGGGATTCAGGGCAACGGGAGATTGCCACCCTCACCTTTCTCAAAATTGAATTTCTTGCGGCCAATGTTAATGCTAAACCGTTTTTTAAAACATCGTTTGGACTCGCTCATTGGCAGCAGTGCGTGGTTGGGTAGCTTCATGTAAACTGAGGCCCCTTCAGCCTCAGTGGTAGCGATGATATCGGAAGAATAACGAAGGTCCCACGCTTGTTCGGGTAACGGTCAAAGGGAGACAACTCGGACTCAATCAACGGTTTCACCTACACATTCTCGGTGTTAAGTAGTTTGCTAGATATGCTGAGTGGACACGGGTGTGGCTTCATGGGTCGCGCACAAACGATTTCAGTTCCATTCAGATTCAACCGGCCTAATCCGTTACCTTCGCACTACATCGATAAGACTAATTGGAGTTGCGGAGTCATGTTGATGGTCAAAGGGAAGTAACTGCAAATCCTTTTTACCATTTGCTAAACATGGTTACTTCCCTTTTGGACAAGGGACACAACTCTTGATTTTCTGTCCCCGATTAGCTCCCTTTGATTGAGGGCACACGGTGTGTGTGAAGTTTTATGTGAGACACTGTCAGGAGTTATCGCAAGGGAGTTAACTCTTGTACAAACATGATTACCTCCCTTTGACCATAAACAAAACCATTACCGACTACCACATGGTTCTTTACGATGTTTCTTTTTTGTATGCCATATCCAATTTTAGAAGAAAAGGAATCACAGTCATATAGGAGGAAGAATATTCACACATACACTTCGCATACGCAAGTTGTTATGACATTGCAACCAACTATGTGAGGAAGCAAATATTAGTATGCGGCAAACTATGTCAGTTTATTGCTGACAATGAAATTGATCTATTATTACATTAATTTTATAAGATTCATAGACATATCTTCATTTCCCCATTCTCTTGGTGAGTTACTTGGGCCAGAGATCCGACATATTCACTCTATATATTCCACTCAACTGCAATTCTGCCTTAAAATGTGTAGAGTGAATTCGGACATGTGCTTTGGAGATTTGTGAAAAAGTATTCGGGCTTCAGGTGTGACTGAACGAGACTTGGAGTGAGAAATGAGATGGGATTCAGGGTAACGGGAGGTTGGCACCATCACCTTTCTCAGAAAGGAACTTCTTTCAGACAATGTTAATGCTAAACAGGTTTCAGAACGGGTGTTGGACTCGCCCATTGGCAGCAGTGTGTGGTTGGGTTGGTTCACTCACTGACTCACTCCAATACAATGTGACAGTACAGATGCTTATGCCTTTATTTGCAAGTGATAACAACTGGTATAGATGTACTAACATCTGTACCAAAATGCCACATTTAGAAGTGGAGTCCACAAGTCAACACTGTCATTGATAGGACAGCTTCTGGAATGCTACTTAAATATATTGGAGCCTGCAGTGTAATTAGTTCATTAGAAATGTGATGACTGCACCATTAAGAAATCAATAATGCACACTTCCGAAAAAGGTACAACTGGAGTATTAATTAATGCTTTGTCTTTAAAAAAATACTGAACCACCATATACAACCATGACACAAGGCAAGGCGAGATAGGACACAGAGAAAGTTTTGATTGAAATTAAATGATTAGAATCTGACCCAATAATAAGCTCCATTATGGCATAGCAACCCCAGGGGCCAGCACACAAATTGCTTAATAGTCACAAAATCCCCCCTGAGTGCCCTATGTCAATGTATTAAATAAGTAGGGGGCGTTTTACCCAACCTAAGTTGAAATGTCTATGGGTCTGCATTTAAAGAGATAAATCTTTACTTTTAATTTACTGTATATATGCACGTTATCAACGCTATATATGCATGCCACTATACTACTGAAACAACAAAGTACCAGTGCATTACACTTTGAACTGTTTATTTTACACCTACACATGTCACAGCAACATTTGACAGTCCATAGAGAGTATCACAGAGAAGGCATGTTTGGGCAGCCAAATATTAGACAATGGAATCTTTGTAACATGCACCCAGCTCAATACTATACACAGTACATACCAATAAAAAACCCATTAATATATCTAAGGTAATGAAACTGTAATCCATTGGTTAAAAATATTAGATAGATTAGGTACAATGTACAATGTATATATCACCCCCCCCCCCCCTCCCCCCATATATATATATATATATATATATTTATTTTTTTTCCAAATAAGAAAGTAAGTCATATTCCTCTGTCTACAGTTCTCTCGTGTCCAACTTCACACAACTTGAATCGAGACCCAAACCCCCACCCATACTCCCGCCCCGACTGGCCACCCCTAAGTCTACTTCTTGGCTGGCTTCTTCGCTGTCGCCCGCTCTTCCTCCAGCTTCTTCAGTTTCTCCTTCCTCACCTGGAGCTGATGCTCCGCCTTCATTTTCTTGATAAACTCGCGACGTTTCTTCTCGTCCTTGACAGCTTTGTGCTTTATTTCTCTGTCCAGTTGTTTCCTCTGGACTTGTTCTACCAACCTGAATAAAAAAGGTAAATAAGATAGTTATGAAATTGGGAGATCAAGCCAAACTCATGTTTAGTAATGAAAACGGTTTAAGTGAATTAAGGTTTTTAAGTTCTGAACATACCTGTCCAGCCTGTATAGATCCGCCTTCTGTCTCCTCCTCTCAGCTGTGTAGAAGCATCGCACTGGGATTTGCTCCAGCCGTCGGGGAGCTCTACCACGGGGAACAACCCCCTCCACTGCGGGGACAGAGAAGGCAACTCCTCCGCTGGCCTGACGGTCGGGGACCAAACCCTCATCTCGTAACTGTTGAAGAATCTCCGTCCCTGACAGACGGGGTGTGGGCGGTGTCACCTTACACTTGGCGTAGTACAGCTCGTGAGGGCATTTGATCTTGCCCGTCAGAGCCTCATCGGGAGATGTCTGCTTGTAAGGCTTAACCTTGGTCTGTTTGCATCCCATTTTAGACAGAAAGAAAGACACTTCTAAAACACCGCTAGTCCGCATTAGTGGGAAAGACAATGACGTGACGTCATAATTTCATGACGTCACAAACAACGAAATCCCCCTTTTATGGGTATGCTGGTTCCCGGATCACCCGCGCGTCTTCAACTCGACAAGACGGAGCTCAGCCTGCCTTCCGGGACAACAGTTCCATTGTATTCCGCTTCTGAATGTTATCTACATGTATATATTGTATTGTTGCGAACCGAGTAGTAGAAACGCGCTGGTGGAATGCTGTATCGAAACAGTTTTTACCAAAGACAGTTTCTAAACGATGGGGGTAAAACAGTTCTTTTGGTTACATCAACATAGATCAAAATCCATTATCATGTCATGTGACATGCCTGAATGACGGGCAAATGACTGTCATCGTTTTTCTGAATATAAATTTCATTAAAAAATGTTTGCACGTTTTGAAACTGTTTCTTCAAGCAGTTTTCTTGTTTTATGGTGGTGGCCATTTGTTGAAGAAAGATGTTTTTCTGTGACAAGTGGTGCCGAACAATGTATACATCTGTACAGGTTACGGTCCCCAACTTATATGGGATGGGGACTTAATGCGCTGTTATGGTACTCCTACTGTTGCGAGTTTGTGGCCGTCGCATAATGAGGGGTCCGACAGTATGTATTTTGACCTCTCACGCCCCCCCCCCCCCCTTTCCCTCCATCCCCACCCCTCGACGTGTAACGTTCCCCGGCTGAGTTCCTTACCCGTTCTCCCGACCCCTTGCGCGTTTCCACTCCGTTGTGGGCCCGCCACTGTTACCGCTACCCATGCAGCCCCAGTGACAGTGACTACTGGATGTACGAGAACGAGGGCGATCATAGCTTTGTGGAGGACAGAGAAAAATGCATCATGTGGTGTGCGCGTGTGTGTATGTGTGAATGTGTGTGTGTGTGAGTGAGTGAGTGAGTGAGTGTGTGTGTGTGTGTGTGTGTGTGTGTGTGTGTGTGTGTGTGTGTGTGTGTGTGTGTGTGTGTGTGTGTGTGTGTGCCGGGATGTGGGGTGTGTTGGGGTGGTTGCATGCATGCGTTTGAGTTCAGTGTATATGCGCATGGCTATGTATGCTCGAGTGCCACTTATTGTGAAGCTTTGTATAAAGAGTGCCAATCGATTCTGGCCTACCTATTCCAAACACAAGTGTCGCCAAATTGCATATATTACGAGAACTTCCGAGAAGATTAAGAGTGACCCCCCCTCCCCCCCGTGTACACCGCAGTCTAAGATTCCACATTATCTCGACTTGAGAGTTTTTGAAGCAAGCCAATACAAATATGCCTGTCGTAACTTGAAAGAAACAACTCACTCTTTTAACCTATATATATATACTTCTCTTAAGCCAAGATTGGTTCTGTCATCAACTGCCAAATCCACAGCTGGCACACATGTTGATTGTGTTGTGTAAGCTGCTTATATCACTCACAGTAGAATACACTCTCGCTGAATTATATTGCTGGTATGGTCAATAAGTTCGTTGAATCAATATAAAGGATTACTTTGTGGGGGTATAATGCGTCCGCGTTGAGTGTGTTCTGCACTTCCCTTGGTATTGGCACATGTAATCCAAGGGATCACAACAGAACGTGACGAAAAATTAATATTTTAACCCCTTGACGTACCCCTATGAAGCCTTTAGATACTCGGCTTGATTTAGACATGTCAGGTGATAAAGACATGGAATATGTATACTGATAAACTGTTAACATTATTTACCAAGGACGTGTGTTGTGTTTGATGTCACTGAACTTAAATGAGATGGCCGAATGTGTTGCACGTCCCTGCTCGGGTTCAGCTATGGATGTCTCTCACTGCGGTAGTGGTAGCCAGTCACACGAAGAATACTACATGTTAATCATTGGATATAGCTGCTGCTGACTTGAAGTTTTGCATATGTTATCACGTTAAACAAAAAGACCCATGATGCGACGAATCCCTTTTATTTGGCGGATTTTTCCAGCGATTCAACATTCCTAATGTTTACTCAAACACAAAACGTCAGTGTGATAACTGAACCCAAATAAGAATTATTATGACGTGCAATATGGGGTGTTACAGATTGATCATGTTTGTTTGTACAATCAAAATGTCAGGATAGACTAGGATAGCTTGAGGGATGTTTAAGGCTTGGATACCGTAGTCACAGAAAAAGCCATGCCTCAAGCATTTGTCGATTCCAACTCGCTGGTAGCATTCGATTTGAGAATTTTGATATTGTTATATTCAACTATAAACAATTGCTAATGTCTATAAAGCCTATACGGCCCAGTAGACTTAACATTTTCCAAGAAAGTGTTCACAGTGATCACAGTTACTTTTGTGTTTGAGTATATACACGTTTTAACGCCCGACTATGATTGCGACGCTTGACACATATCCGGCGACATGGCCAAAAGTAAAAACAACGGTATTGTGATGTTGTTTTAAAGCAGCGACAGGGACGTTATACTCGTACACCTCCCACAGAGTCGGTTCAAAACCTTGACTCGCAGCGTCGGACAGGAACATGAATGACGTCAGAACATGTCCGTTTATGGAAACGGTGTGAGGTTTAGTTGAGGAAGACCGATCCTTCAGACTAACAGCAACTCTGAGACGCGCCATTTTGATGGTGCCAAGGAAAGGAATGCCAACCTGTGTGTTCACGGCGTTGTTTTGGATGGGCACGACCACGGCTACCCCGTAATACTTAACTTCATTTATAGTCTGCGCATGCGCGAAACTATGACCTGATTTGAGGCTGTAGAAGCAGCTTGACTCCGGTTCCAGAAGGACCTGATTGTGGTTGATGCGGACGGTTTTGTTCGGTTGAAATACCGATACGTTGTTGTGATGGTTCCGATAGAAGCAGGTTGAAGTGGCAGAGGATGGTTTAAGCCAGTTGTTAGGGAAGGTGAGGTTGACTGTAGCCTGTACCTTCTTGTAGTTGTGGAGGAGCACTGTCACCTCCTGGGTTGCAACGTTGGCGAGAGCGTGTGAGGCTATCGTCTTCTCATTGCCGTCATAGGCGTCATCAACTCTCAGGAACTTCAGGTTGTCATGAAAATACTTCCAAAACTTGAAGGCATCAGAAACTGTTCTCTCAGTGCCATTTCTCTCAAACAGGCTGGAATAAGAAAATTCACATCAAGATCGTATGCATCTTGCATTAAAACTATTCTGATATTCAATGTCACATTATTAAGTGTTTCCAACTGACGATTGCATGCATATTATGTGCATATTTAGCACTACCTAGGTTAGGCTTGGCGTGGCGACACCACACCTACATACTTAATAATCATTTTTGTCAATGCATTAAAAGAATAGTGTGCTTGAAGTATATAATTGTATTTTATACTCAATAGATGGTCACTCGAAATAAGAAATGATAAAATGAAGTTATTCCCTCAGAATGTCAAAGGAAAAGATGTAATTGATGGAGTGAGAGAATGTGTTGGGGTTAAACAATAATTCACATATATCACATGTCAAATTGTTGTTGGAAGAAATTCCGAAGTAATACATGTCTTTGATGTTAAATCTTCCCGATTCCAGGGAGTTAACTGACTGTAAATGTCCAGTTTGCACCCTTTCCGAACGGGGCCGGAATTTCTGGGTTAGATCGTAGCACCACCAGGGGCTATTACGAATTACGTTACATTTTATGTTCCTTCTATTGACCAATCAGATGCCACCTCTCATATAACTGCATTTGCTTCAAACAAAATGGTGGCGCCCAGTCAACACAATCTGATCGATAATCCCGATCTACATTGTAATAAAACGGGGCTGAATTCGTGAAGTGCATCAAATCACGCAAACATCTTGATTAAAAACAATCCTGCAATCTGCACGGCAGTTTACGAACCGGATGTCGATGTCGTTACGCCATTTTGATTGGGCAATGCAAAGACTCGTTAGTCCAGCCAAAATATAACTCCATAATGTCAGCCTAGTTCGGCAAGGGTGGAAACTGGACTTTTTATAGTCAGTTAACTCCCTTGCCTCGGGAAGATGATGATGTTACCACTTTGGTGAGAACGTCAGTGGTGGTAGTATGAGCATTATCACGGTACATTGGAACCTTCTTGCATCGGCTCTACCCAACAACCGACGAACTAAGAGAAATTACAGGTTATATGTCCCCAGAGAATGAGAGATGTAAAACCCGCGCCACGGCCAGGTCCTTACAGCATTCCTTCACGAGGGACAGATAATCCCGGAGTTCCGAGTTTCCAGTAGATTTCTCTAAATATTAGACTTCGCCATTTTAAGAAAGAAAATGAAGAAAAACGATGAATGATGAAATATCAACCCTACAGAGAAACTTCAACGAAGGCAACCTACTATTCAGATGACGTCATATAATCAATTTGTGACGTTATGAGCTGACCAAAACAGTATTGAGAAACCTAAAATGCAAATGTGCATACATCGAGATTTGATTACACATAATTTTTCCAGCCTCCTTATAAGTAACATCATATAATAATATAACCATAGCTGTGTAGAGTGACCATCGAAAATATTCACCTACCTGTACGTGATGCTTGCTTGTCCCTTTAAGTCCGTGTAGGATATTAGGAATGCAACAACCGTGTCAATAACGTCCCTGTAGCTCAGGTAGGTGAACATATGAGCATTGTGCTGGTAGACGTACGCCCAGTCAGCAAAGGTGCTTGGTTTCTGGTCATTTAAACCAATGATCAACGTAAGACCAAACTCACTGATGACTAACGGTACATTTCTCCCGTTTTTAACGTGTGCATAATTCTCCACCAAGTCTATGAATGCTCCAAGCCTGGCTGGGCTGCTGCCGTAAAAGGTGTATCCATCGCCGGCAACCTTGAGGTGGCTGTAGTCATGGAAGGAGAAGAAGTCCATGTCCGTGACGGACATGTTCATGAAGTCGGCCAGACGTTTCCACACACTAAAGTCCTCCCTGTCAGAGTGGGAGACTGTCCCTGTGTTGGTCGGACCTCCGACTCGGAGAGTCGGGAACTTGGCTTTGAGCTTCTTGGCGACGACTTGATGGTAGGCGACGACTGTGTCCCATTTGAGGTATTTGTAGTCCGCGCCAGGCTCGTTGTAGACCTCTACTATTGGTGGGATGCTTCCAGCGGACCCGTTCACCGCTTCCAAAAACAGAAGCACGAACTCTGCAGCAGCGTCCATGTTCTTAGGGAACTTGCCACCGTATGTTGTTTTCGTCATCCAGTCGGGCCAAAACAAACCTTTGATAGAAATATCAAGTCAGAGTGAGTGAGTTTGACTGGAAGCTGCTTTGGCCAAGTCTAGTGTTTCAGTTTCTTCAGGGCGTCTGAAGGGATCCTAGATGCCTACCTATATGTTGAAAGAGTGGGGTACTGACAAATCAATGATCATGTCTACCCATTTAGAGCTTTGTGGTTTAGCCACATCTTGCGAATTTGGCTTTGTACAGGAATTTGTTACTATTATGTTGACAAAGATGCACATATCATTGTATATGTATGTGATTACTCTGTTTATGGTGATGTGAAAGTATAACTCATATAAATATAAAATAGGCCATTCCTAGAAGGAAAGACGACACACCACGGGGATGCATGCTGACATTATTACCCAGGTCAGTAGAGTATATTCCCAGATCCGTTATATAACAAGTGGACCAGACGACGATTACTCGTGAAGGATTTTCAGGATAACTGAAGGATGAGTTACGATAAGGACACGCTTTTGCCAACTATTGAAATATCTTAGGAAAAGCCTTGATAGAGAGATTTACCGCACATGTTCAAATGCTTTTTTGCAATACATACTTTACATTTTGGTTCATCAGCATCATCAACAACAATAACAACAGTAAGTAAATAGTTACGACTAAAATGCACGGAATAGGCCAAAGTACTGGAGAAAGAGTAAGTATAATTTAGTCAACAAAAAATACATCGTCAACTTTCATCTGTCCCAGATACTTAACATTGTTAATTTGAGTCTGTATATCTTCACGGGGTAACTCAAATTATGATGTAAAAAGTTTTGTACTTAAGGTCAAGTGGCCTTTAATTCAAATAAACCTGTCTGTCTGTCTGATATCAGTGCAACTGCTGGACATGGTGTCGTAAATTCATTACTTGAAACTTCAAACAATAATTTTGAAATGGAAATGTGCGTATTACGAACCATTTTCAACCAACCTTACAAAGGATAGTAAATAAAGGGGGGAGTTCTGTAGCTGTAACATTATTTTGACGTAGAAATATATTGACGAAACTGATTTAATAATAAAACAAGATTCAGAGCTCTGCTCTGATCTATGTCTGCATTGGGTCATCTATAGCCATACTTCTCACCATTGAATACAATGACTCCGTTAGGGTTACGGCCATAACCCTTGATGTTGTGGCTGTACTTGTTGGATATGGCATCCCTTTGGTTCCAAAAATGTGTTGGGTCAGGGTAACCATGGCGATGAGGATCCTCTGGGACCTGGACGATGAAAGGACGTGAGTAAATTCAATTCTTCAATCATTGTATTTCAGCAATAAGGCCTCAGTCCAATGTAAAATGACAGCAAATGTAATTGGAACAGCAGCGATTTGAAACGCAACTAATATAGTGAATTAGTGAGGTTTGTCACTTATATCAAAGCGTAACAGCTGAGAGTGAAAGGAAAGAGTAAATAGCTATTGTGCTTACAGACCAAGAAGCATGATCAGGGTTTAAGAAAATGTGATTCGAAGCTAAAATAATAAAAAATAGAATCTTTCTGTAACAAAACTCTCATGAAAATAACATTCTTGGCATCGTAAGGTTCCAGTCTATGTGGCCATGGCTCTGATCTCAGCACCTGAAGCTTGTAGTAACAGCCGACTTAAATGAGGATCGGGTGTTCACAATGTGTTCAGCATTGCTCATGCTATCAGTCACTGGTTTACCTGTTCCAGATTCTATTATTTACAGACCGCTGCAATATTGCTGACCGCGGCGAAAAACAACGTTCAATCAATCAGTATTTTGTATTGTGTTTACCAATGCATTGTGATGCACCGACCAAATATATTATATGTCAAATATTCTTATATCAATATCACATACAGATATATTGAAGGAAAAAGACACACACACACACACACACACACACACACACACACACACACACACACACACACACACACACACACACACACACACACACACACACACACACACACACACACACACACACACACACACACACATTTCACCTCAGTTCCAATCACATATACAAATGTTAATGGGTAATAATATATGTCAGTAACTACCACACACAAAGTTTGATTTAAACTACACTTTTAACAGTATTTCAGTTTGATCACGGCACGTCGGCTCCATGGCAGTAAAGCCCGATGTGATCTTAGATATTTACCGCTTTGAAAAAACCTAGAATCATTTTTAGGGCAAACCCACGATCTGGCACGCCAAAGAGACGTAACTCTGCACTGCGAATTGCAGCGCCTTACTTGACAGATAGTGCCCCCTCACACAAAAAGGTGCTCATGACAACAATATGTACCTTCCCAAACAAGGCTTTGTCCGGGCTTATCCATCTCCCACTATGAGATCCAATAACAATGTTGGGCTGAATGTATCTATCGTTGTCCATGCCGTTGTGGCTTCCCCAGCGGCCAGTCTCAAAGTTCACCTTGCCTGCCTGGGAGTAGAACTGGGGATAGATGGTGACAGGAATAGCACTGCCTACCGTGCCAACCATCAGCAGCAACACCAGACACATCAACATGACGTGAATACTTATGAAATGTGCTAATCGTATGACACATTATATGCCATGCCATAGATAAGTTAAGTCCTACCTCTCCCAACGCATGGTGTGTGGAATATTATCAACATCAAATATTTGGTCTTATCTTATTATACCAAGGCAAGTCAATTGTTCACCTGAAAAAAAACGGGAACATATGGTAGTCGTCACGATAGGGACTAGTCAACACATACGAATGTCATCATCCGGATTCCAGATAACCAGAACTATATATTTCTTGCACGTACAATTGGTGTCCGATACTTACAAAGACTTATATTTTTATGAACGCCTGGAGTCATTCCTCCTGACAGAGATTCATATGTGATGCCAATAGTTTACTTTCATTTCCCTCTGTACTGACATCTGTTTCGAAGTAAAAAAGCGTTATCTATAGTTCTACTTTGTGACTGGCTGATAGTGCCCGATAAGTACATGCACGTGGCACACCTGTGCTTATTATTTAGTCTGCATGTAATGACGGTACTTATCTAAGAATAACTAAATGCGTGTAAGTTCGTCGAATGGGGTTACTTCATTGGGTGCTACGGGGTAAACGGCCAGTTCTGGATTTATGACAACAGACTCTTGTGTAGACAGAAACACTTTCTTGTATTCAGATCAGACGGAATTCTGACTGCAAGCACGAGCAACGATCAACGCCGTCGGGTGCGATGACACACTCAGACAAGGCACTTACTACCAAATCCCCATTTTAGACGCCTCTTATGGCAAGTACGAGGAACCGAGAGTCTGATTACCTAATGGTCTTATCACAGACGAAGACGTCACGAAGTTAAACGACAGTGTTATATGAGACACGTGACCATATAAAATAGTCATACCTAGACTTGTCATTGCATTTGCACACCTGTTTTCTGTGTTTACGATAGAAATCACCGAGGCTTCTAAATGGCATTGTGTATTCATAGCTTTCGGCCATGGGAAAGGCTTTCATTTTTGTGGAAGCCTCGGTGGCTGAGTGGGCTAGATCGCTGACTTTGTGTGCTGGCGATTAGGTGCCTCACTCTGGCAAGAGTGGGTCCGAATCCCGGACGGGACTCAACCCCAAAAAAGTAAGAGAATCTGTACTTTACGAAGAAAGTGTTATCCCAAATATAACATTTGTAACATTTACATACCTCGCCTGAACATCATTGCCATTTGTATGACCCTTCCGACCTGAGTCCAGATTTGGAAACATTGTCTAAACAGTATCCCTTCTTGAATCTCCCTTAACACTTTGATGTCCTGTCGATGTCTTCTGAAATACTTCCATTCCTATGAAAAGTCCTGCTCTAAAGGAACTTCCATTTGTCTTCTCAGTCTGTTTGTCTACGTCCAGTGAATTTCATGTTTTTGGTTGCGTTTCTGTTACTGGTTCTGTTTTGACATCAGCTTTCCATTCGCATGTGTTCTGCGTAAAACCATTTACTTCAGAGCCACGGCTACAGGAGCACGAAGGTATCAAGAAAGACACAGTGGCATGTATAGTAAGTTTCATCGCTGATATCCAAACATAAAATTGCAACTATACTTTAATAAAAAAGTGGGGGATTATTTCCAAAATTTGTATGAGAAGTTATGACCGTCATCGATCTTGTAGGACGATAGGGGTAAGATGGGGAATTACAAAGTTGACTTTTTTGGATCAGTAGTGTGCACCGCCACTACTTGTCAAAACATTCATTCACACGACTAGGAATACTACGGATGGGCCTCCCAATGGCGAATTGAGAGAGTCTGTGCAATTCCTCTTGCAGCGCCTGGCCAGGTTCAGGCAACGTGGTCTGCGACCTATGACGTTGACGCACACGTCTCACTATTATAACCGAGACGTGTTCAATGGGAGAAAGGCCTGGTCTCATTACTGGCCATCGCATTCTGTAGATTGTGCTCTGCTTGAGGTGAGCATTGGCGATTCGTGCACGGTAAGTACGGGTCGACCCACACGCCTTGCAAACGGGACAACAAAGTGTCAGTATGTTGTCCAGATAAAACTGTCCAGTGACCCTTCCTTGCACAAGATGGAGATGGTTCATAGTGATGCCAACCCACGCCAAAACCGATCCACCGCCAAACCTTCATGATGTCTCAGGTTGATATAGGCTTGATGTTCATTGGGATTTTGAAAGGAGACAAGATTTCTTGCAACAATGTATTGTTTGTGGCAGACAATTTCTTTGTTTGGGCTTTTTATGAAATACAATTTATTTGTTCCGATAAAATCTCCAGCTCTTGCGATATGCAATACGTAGTTTATTTAAGCAGATTTGGACTATTGGCAGATATTCTCTTTTATGTAATTAAAATGAAAGCAATAGCAAATCTACTTTTTCCTTAAACAGAAATCACAGCACGAACAACGACCCATTTTCTCAATGGTTTGAAAAAATAATATAATATGTTTAATGATAAACATTGTTGTTGTTTGCCATGAAATTGAAAGTGCTTGTGTGAACATTCAATTGTGTCATACCATAATTATTGCTGAAAGAGTCGCAAATTCTTACTTTTTCACTCATTCATTACGATTTGACATGTATTCCATGACTTACAATTTGTATATTATATAGGGAGTCTGGTATGGAAAGCCCGAAACTATGTAAGGCTGCAACGGACGGACGCACTCTGGCGATTTGAGTTCTCTGCACCTTTGTCTGTTTACCAAAGGGCGAGATCGCGAGAATGTCCCTTGCTGCATTCCATAAAATGCAGACCGCCTCCATGGTCTAGTGGTAGAGCGTCCGCCCGGAGAGGGGAAGGTCCGGGGTTAGATCCCCGGCCGCGTCATACCAAAAGACGTTAAAAGATGGTATTTGTTGTTACCCTGTCTGGCGCTCGGCATTAAGGGGCTAAAACAAGGACTGTTCGGCTCGGAGTCAGTATACTTTGTCTGAGTGGAGTATTCATGTTAAACTGCGGCATGGTATGTCAGTGAGCTAGCACTATAAACCGGCATCAGTCCGGAGTAGTAGTAGCAGACACACACACATCAGTCCGGAGTAGTAGTAGCACACACACACACACACACACACACACACACACACACACACACACACACACACACACACACACACACACACACACACACACACACACACACACACACACACACACACACACACACACACACACACACACACACACACACATACCTAATATGTCGCCATGGTTATTATCTTACTCCTATTACCCCTTATTATACCGTGTCCCTTGTGAAGGCGGCGTGACTCGGTGTCAGTATGCAATATAAAATAACATTATCTGAATTGCTACTGCCATTAGAAGGATAACGAATAATTTATGACATGAAAGTTGCTGCACTGGGATAACATGACAGGACTGTAAAGGCCAATAGCTCATTAAGACATTGTGTTAATAATCATATAAACGTTTGACGTGACACTATAATCTCCACGAGAGAATATGAGATTAGAGAGTTGGTAATGACATAGAACACGATACAGTAAGTTATTGTCGGAATGGAACGAATTAACTGACAGTAAGATACACACTGGGGAAATGAAAGGAGGACGGTCAGATAAAAAGACGCTAATAGAAGGTGCGATATGATGAATAACGAGACATGTGAAGTAATGCATTGTGTACGTGCCAGCCAGTTAAGTGAGATGGACGAGACATGTGAAGTAGTACATTGTATACATGCAAGCCAGTTAGATGAGATGGACGAGACATGTGAAGTAATACATTGTATACATACAAGCCAGTTAGATGAGATGGACGAGACATGTGAAGTAATACATTGTTTACATACAAGCCAGTTAGATGAGATGGACGAGACATGTGAAGTAATACATTGTATACATACAAGCCAGTTAGATGAGATGGACGAGACATGTGAAATAATACATTGTTTACATACAAGCCAGTTAGGTGAGATGGACGAGACATGTGAAGTCATACATTGTATACATACAAGCCAGTTAGATGAGATGGACGAGACATGTGAAATAATACATTGTTTACATACAAGCCAGTTAGGTGAGATGGACGAGACATGTGAAATAATACATTGTATACATACAAGCCAGTTAGGTGAGATGGACGAGACATGTGAAGTAATACATTGTGTACGTGCCAGCCAGTTAGGTGAGACGGACGAGACATGTGAAGTAATACATTGTGTACGTGCAAGCCAGTTAGGTGGGATGGACGAGACATGTGAAATAATACATTGTATACATACAAGCCAGTTAGGTGAGATGGACGAGACATGTGAAGTAATACATTGTGTACGTGCCAGCCAGTTAGGTTAGACGGACGAGACATGTGAAGTCATACATTGTATACATACAAGCCAGTTAGATGAGATGGACGAGACATGTGAAGTAATACATTGTGTACGTGCAAGCCAGTTAGGTGGGATGGACGAGACATGTGAAATAATACATTGTTTACATACAAGCCAGTTAGGTGAGATGGACGAGACATGTGAAGTCATACATTGTATACATACAAGCCAGTTAGATGAGATGGACGAGACATGTGAAATAATACATTGTTTACATACAAGCCAGTTAGGTGAGATGGACGAGACATGTGAAATAATACATTGTATACATACAAGCCAGTTAGGTGAGATGGACGAGACATGTGAAGTAATACATTGTTTACATACAAGCCAGTTAGGTGAGATGGACGAGACATGTGAAATAATACATTGTATACATACAAGCCAGTTAGGTGAGATGGACGAGACATGTGAAGTAATACATTGTATACATGCAAGCCAGTTAGATGAGATGGACGAGACATGTGAAGTCATACATTGTATACATACAAGCCAGTTAGATGAGATGGACGAGACATGTGAAGTAATACATTGTATACATACAAGCCAGTTAGATGAGATGGACGAGACATGTGAAGTAATACATTGTTTACATACAAGCCAGTTAGATGAGATGGACGAGACATGTGAAATAATACATTGTATACATACAAGCCAGTTAGGTGAGATTGACGAGACATGTGAAGTAATACATTGTGTACGTGTATGCCAGTTAGGTGAGATGGACGAGGCATGTGAAGTAAAA